AACGAATAAGGAAGTTTTCTAGCTCGTTACTAGCAATTATTTGAAGAAAAAAAAGAAGTCTTACTTTACCTCCCAGAAAATCTTTTAGTTACTATTTTAAATATATATTTATGTAGAGTTCTTCCTATGAATAAAAAAGGACAGAGTGCTTCCTCACAAAAAAAGGAATTTTGGGTAACACCGTTTTGAGTAACATTTCATTTAACACCGTAAAAATGTATCAAAATGTGTAATATTATGTAATAACTGAATTTGATCCTCAACAATTTTTAAATCACCCTCTTACACTATTTTATGTGTACATTTCAAAAAGTAATTATCTCTCATTATCAAAATAGGAGAAACATGTGTAGTTAATAAGTAATTAAAGGCACAGTAATGTATAGTAATTAAAGGCATGCTAAAAAACAATTTCTGTGCAGTAAAAAAACTAACTAAAAAAATATTAATTACTAAACAACTTGAAAGCTTTTTTCTATAGTTTAAACTAAAATTATAAGAAAATGAACAAATTCAAGGTGCATTTTTTAAAGAAAGGAATAAATTTTAAAAAAATAATTTTAAAATCATTTAAAAAATTCATTACTATTCCTCCCCTCCTCCCTTCCGAAAAAAGAGAAACTTGAGAATAATCCTAACGAAGTAAAGATTTGAAATTGCCATCAGAATTAAACCTGAAACACAGATAATTTTAGCAGTGGGTAATTATTATTTAAACAGTGAATTAGTTTTTTTAATGGAATATGAATAAAAAGGCACTGTTTTTATGGGATATCGGCTTATTTTTACAAAAAGGGCAAAGAGGGCTCATTTACAGGGATCAAAGGGAAGGCTGAGCGTGTCGCCCTTCTAAATACGATTAAGGAGAACGCCGATTTTAAGAACAAAATATATGAAATATCGCAAAAATGAATACATGTTTCTTGTTGTTAACATAAAATTTACTAAGATCTTGATAATTATCGAATCTTTACTAATTATCTTGGAAATTAACCTTCAAATTAAGTTCAAATCTTCAAACCAGTATTGTTTCGAATTGACCCAAATTTCACAAAAAAACCACCGTGATTTAGATGAGAAACTTAAATTAGACACAAAATAGGAGTATTTTCAACATTAAATATTAAGATTTACATCAACAATTTCATATTATATTAAGAGTACATTTGACACATAGGTTCACATGTTGAACATATCCAAGACCCATATCTAACACTTAATTGAACACACTCAGTTTTCTTATTAAAAATTAATTCCTATTTTTATTTTATATTTGTACAAAAAACAATAATAATTTTAATAGTTTAGAATATACAACATACATTTTAAAATACATTTATTTTTAAAAATGTATTACAAAAAGGTAAATTATTTATTTTCTTGTCTTTGATTAAAAAGTAAATTAAAAAAATTATTAAAACTTAACACATTAAATTAAAAAAAATCAATGAAGCGGTCATTCACTAAATGGTATTTATTTGGCATTCACTTCATAAGAATTTTGCGTGAAACTTACAGCGAACCTTATCCCTAAGAAAATGCGGAACTCTTTATATTCAATGTCAAACAAATAGCTTTACTGTTGCACGCTGTTCTTTCCATCTTTAGTAAAACTTTTACTCATTGAACTTAATCCTCATAGAAAGTTATATTTTAAGAACATATAATTAAACAAATAAAAACCTATAATATATTTTTCAAGCAAACAATTTTAGCAAAAAAAGAGGAAATTAAAAATTTTGAGAACATTAAATCGAAATCTCGGTCGGCGTCCCCCTAACTAGGAGCTCGAGGCAATCGCCCGTCTTGCCCGCCCCTGTCTATGAAAAGAAAATAAAAAACGCAGAACTTCACTTACAAAGTTATTTTATTTGCATGAGAATTATACAAGTTATATGAGTAGTTTGAGGGATAGGGGAGGTTGGGGAGGTAAATGGCCTCATGACAGTAGCCTTATTATGGCGCCATCTACTGTACTTATTCCATAGTAAACAAATAGATTTATTGATAACATCGCCGTTTTCTTACTTGTGTACTTCAAGTTGAATAAGAGTTATTGTAATAAATTCTTTTTAATTAAATAATTTTTCTCACTGAAATTATTTATTTTAACATATATATTCCAACTAATTCCTTTTAAGCTATTATTGTTCTGCATTAAAATGGATTAGCTTAATAACTATAAAATAGCAGGATAACGAAATATATTTTATTTCGAAGCGGAAATTATTCAACCAAGAAAAAACTTAAATAAATGTAGTTTGAACGCATGAATAATGAATTTTTTTTATTAAATTTATACTTATTTTCTTAATAAATTTATGCGATATTTGAGACAAATATGGATTATGTATTAGCTATTGATATTAGCAGTGCAAAATTAGTTTACAAAAAAAGAAATTACATAAAAAGATAAATACAAATATACACTTATATCACTTTAAAAAAACTACTAAAAATTAAACTATAAGTTAAAATTGTAATATATACTAAGTAATAAAACTCGGATTCTAACATGAATGGAAGAAAAGAACAATTTAAAAAGAGTCTTACGTTTTTCAATTTGAGTCGCCAATAATTTGATAATTCATTTCAAACAGCAATTTAAATAAAATTAAACATTTTGTTTTCGTATTTATAGCTGAAAATAATTCTGTAAATTATGATTTAAGCAGTTCACGTTAATTTAACAAGTAACAATTGTAATCCGCATCATTTGACATTTATCTAATGTCAGACGATATTTTAGGTAAATAATCCAAACGACACTATGTCAAAATGAAATCATCGTTTTAAATATAACTATATTTGAAAAATAGGAAATAAATTAAGACTGATATAGAAAACGGCCATTACCTGATAATATTTTAACTATCATTCTAACATATTCCATAATTTTAAAAAAAATAATAAGAAAAATATTTTTACAATTATTTGATTTTGGCATTATACAGAGCACTCTTTTCTTCTTTCTTCCTTTTCTATTTATTACTTTAAAAAGAGAATAATAATTTAAAGGAGTTACATTTATTATTAATAACTGAAAGCAAATGAAACATTTTAGAAAATCTTTAGACACTTTCTAAAGATTTTAAGTGTGGATTTTACTTATTTACTGAATTTAAAGCGGTTAATACATCAAATAATATATTCAGTACATAAAATACATGAAACTATGAGTGCGTTTATTTATTTTTACAGTTATCAATAATGTATACATTAATATGAAAAATAAATAAGCTTATTAATAGAGAAAATATTTCTGGAAACACTGTTATATGGCTGTTATAAGTAATTCGTTAAAAAAAATTAAGAAACGTAGATTCAGGAATTATTCATTTCATTTTTTATGTTAGGAAATGCATTTTTCAAGTAAAAGTATTAATAATTTGCAGATAAGGGAATTTCGTATTATTCGTTTTTGCAGTAATCAGAGTTGAATACATTAATATATTATATTAATGTATACATTAATATAAAAAACAAAGAAACATAATAAATAATTTATATCTGAAAACATCACTATGTTGATAGTAATTATATGTAATAATTCAATTAAAATATTAAGAAACGCAAATTTAAGGATTTAAATTAAACGTCAAATATACCAAAAACACTATACACTTGCTCATATTTTAAAATGCTTTCCCATGGTTTGAGTTAGAGATAGAGAATGAAATACAGTATGATAGATGTTTATAAACGTATTATGGCTATGTATGCCCATTTATAATAGATATATATGTGCTAAACTTGTCATATTTTTCCGAAATATTATTTAAATTAAATAACGAGTATTGAACGATTTATTTGATTACCGCTTTACTTGAACTTGAAATCGTAAAAATTTATATAAGAAATTCAAAACAAAAATAATGAGGATTATACAATTATTTTTATAAATTTCACGAAATAATCTTTAAACATTTAGCTCCCGATTCAAAAATCCTTCGTCAGAACTGTCGTGAGCCCCACTGATCGTAATTTGGAACTAAATGTGCATCTTGTTTATGTACAAAATGCTTTTGAATAAGTTATAACATATGAGAACTAAGATTTATAAAGAGAATTTATACTTACATTAATTTGAATAATAATTCTAGTAGAAAAAAACTTAAGGAAAAATATTGAAACATTATTTGCAAAATTTAAGGGGCCCACTAGAAATTTGGGAGCCCTTGGGAGTCTTCTTAGGTCATAAGAAAAAAACAGGAACTTGAATATTAAGTTACTTTAAAACTAAAAATGTAAACAAATAAAAAATAACGAACAGTTTCATAGTTCGTTCTTTTTTTTTTTTTAATATTACTACTTTCATCCACTGCAATAAAAAAAAGGAAAAAAAAATTTCTTTTTAAAAATTTACAATAACAAAATAACTTTAAATATTCGATTAAAAAAAAAAGATTTGTTAAGTCAAAGCTTCGTAAATTGCTTGGTTAAATAAATCCATCACTATGATCAATCACATTCAAATTAGGTAACTAAAACAATCAACGATTTTCCCACCTTAGTTTTCCCACAGAAAAAAAAATGCACAAGAAATTCAAAAGGAGAAAGAAACAACTTCGTAAGCGTGTGGGAATTTTCAAATGAAAAAATAATTTTATTTGACTGGGTCACGGATAGTTTAAGAGTAAATCTATCGGTATATGGTAACATCTTTCCAATATCTTAACCATGATTACTTAAATACCTTTATTAAAGATCGCCCGATGTTTCTAAGATTCCGTATGCTATATTATATCTAGAGATCAAAACAAACCGGCAAGGTGGTTTTTATAAACATTTAATGCACGTGCACAAATACAAATATTTCGTGAACCCGTAAAATTACCGGAGATGTCACAAAAACGAAAAACATTTTCTCTCCAAGGAGCTAAGAGAGATGTCATATATAAGTTTGCACATGTAAATAGCCCCAACGATCCTCCCAGAACACTGGTGGGTTTGCAAATTAAAAACAAGATAGGAGGGTTATTAAAATTGTAAAAACTCACCCCATTTTGGCACAATCTTTAGCCATATTAGCAAGAAATAGCCATCTATCTTAAAATCATACACTCATCTCCAACTCTTGGCAGCCATAACAATGTGGGAGGACCGGAAACCAAGATTTAGAACATGCGCAGATTGAACTTTCTCTAGTATCATCTTTAATCCTTGGCTACTTATCGCTTTTTCTGGCAATTTACGAGCGTTTCAAACTAATGACCCCGGATTATTTTTGACAGATCATAGTTTGTCTAAAATTATTTTTAGCGATTTTAATGTAAGACAAACTACTTTATTTGTATTCATAAATTTTGCTTTTTTTTTTTTAAATGAAAGCTCCTTATTGGAAAATATTTTTAAATTTTAATGTTTATTAAAATTTAAAAATACATTTTCCCACAAAAATATTTTTCCATTATACTTTTATGAATAAATTTTATTGATGCTTATATCGCAAAGTAATTTATAAAAATATTACTTTTGCAGAAGTTTTTCTGTCAAATAACGTTAAAAGTATGCCTTATAATCTAAAAAGATTTTTCAAAAATTATATTTTAATAGTTTTAAATTTCTTGTAAGTTTAGCTAACAAGGAGGCTTACTTAATTTTTTTTAAATAACTCGCAAATATTTGAAATCTAATGTATGATATATAAAATTGCTGAAAAACACATCTGCCAAAATCGTTTGAGTTTGAGCTACATCAGAAATTCGCAGCAAACTCTTTGGGACTCAATTTACAAAAATGTTCAATTTAATAGGTTGCGTAGTAATTTATTATAAAATAAAACAAAATAAAACTCCCACGTGGATGAGTTTTTTCACAATAATAACAAATGAATAAATAAATAAATGAAATCCGACTGATAGAGAAAGAGTCAAGCCACGAGAATGAGCTGGTGGATTTCAAAGCGATATGGGAAAAGCAAAAGAATTTTCAATCGTCCTTCATCTTGAATTAGAATTCCTTATGACCTGGACCTACTAAAACTAGTCCTAGAACTGCTTATACATTTCTTTTCCCTTCGCTGTGCTCGCTTATTTAACTTAAGTATTCCATATTGCATCAATTTAGGTTCAAACATTTTCCTTTACTCAAACTTTAATATTTGTTATCAAAAAATAAAAATAATTAAACTACTATTGAACATGCTCCACATATAGATATTGATAATTGTTCTACTTAATTCTTTTTAAAAATGTTGTACTTATAGTCATTTCTAAACAGAATGCAAAGATTAAATATCCTTTGCCATTTTCCTTTAATTTATATTAAAATACATAACTAATGAAATATTTTATTGTGCCTGCAATTTCACTAATACGGTATAGGTAAAATATTATTATTATTTGCATTATATACAGCAAACGTGTTTAAAGTCTGCATTTTATTTTAAAATGAAGATAATGTTTTAAGTTATAACAAAATTATTCATTCATACTTCGCTGAAGTGCCATTTTGCATCCCTTAATGTGTATACTTTCTTAACTTCATCTTTGAAAAAAAAACATTTTAAGAAATATATATTAAAAGAGTGAATTGCAGATACTATAGTTTTGAAGAAAATACAATTTTTAAAAAGACCATTATGTACAAAAATATTTGTTATTAATTATATTTGTAAGTTAGAGTAACTCTGATGCGACGTATAACAAAATTATTCATTCATACTTCTTCGCTGAAATGCCATTTTGCATCCCTTAATGTGTATACTTTCTTAACTTCATCTTTGAAAAAAAAAAATTTAAGAAATATATATTAAAAGAGTGAATTGCAGATACTATAGTTCTGAAGAAAATACAATTTTTAAAAAGACCACTATGTACAAAAATATTTGTTATTAATTATATTTGTAATTTAGAGTAACTCTGATGCGACGTAAACAGACAAATTAAATAACAAAAATCATGATTTTGTTTACGAAATGCAATCACAAAAACAAAATAGATAAATAAATAAAATAATATCAATTAAATGCTGTTGCGATAATTTGTTTACGAAATTTAACGTTCCAATTTTAAAATTTAACTAATCTTCCTAAATTTTACCCACTTTCTTTTAAACTAAATCTTATTTGCCTTATGAAAATCCAAGTTTAAATACATTTTTTGAAGTTTAAATACAATTAGTTAAATATTATTTACAAACAATAAATTTATATTTATAATAGTGCTTTTTAAAGCTCAAAACTACAAAACATAGTTCATTGGTTGCCGAATGTTGATGAAATGGCTGATTTACTTTTCTAAATATGCTCCTTGAAAATACGTCACAGGCTTTCTTTTGAAATCAAAGTACTTTACAAGTTTGAACGAACTTCCTCTTACTTTCTTAATTATGTGCATCATTAATTCCGAAGTCAAAATTAAAAACAAGTGATGTAGAAAAATTTATAAGGAAGAATATAGGAAAAGTCGGAAATATTACTGTAATAATACTATATGACCTAAAGATGATGAAAGTTTCTATTTTTCGTATTAACTTTAGTTTATTTTCTAATAATCAATGAGAAGAGGCTATCTACAAGAAAAGAGTTCGAACTCATATTTCTCATTCAAAAAAAGGTTTGAAATTCGTTGAGTGAGACATTCGAAGACAGGTACAATTAAATTAACTGATTTTCTTTTCCTAGTCACAGTTTAAAAATTTATAAAATTACGATTAATCCACACATTTAGTCTTGTATTTTCTCCTCCCGAATAAATTTTTATTTGTTTATAAACATATCTTTATAATCGGAAAATAACAAAAATTAAAGGTCTAACAGAGCTCTATTGTGCCCCCTAGGCCAGAGTACAGTAAAACACACACACACAAAAAAATGGTTAAGATATTTCTTTTTATATTAAATTATTTCAAGTCAGTTTTGAATATCTGTATATCTGCTTTTTTTCAGCTCTTGAAGTGATAGGAGATGAAAGTTTCAGCGCAATTTATCTTTACAAAAATGTATGTTTCTACTAAACACATAAATGTACAGATAGGTCTTACAAACAAAGTATTTTAATTTCATTTAAATCTATGATCCTTAATCTTGATCTAATGATATTAAACAAGAGTAACATGTTGTAT